ACTCGGAATGAGTAAACACCAGCTGTGTAGAATGTAAACGAATCATTCAAAAGATTCACTGAATCAAAATCCAGACTGTAGGACAATGTAGCTGTAGTTTACAACACAAAGCAAATGAAGTACAGACAGTGTAATATCAACATAAACACACAAATACCTTGTGTCTACCGCGGTAAACGTTAGCTGTGGCTCCCTGACCCAGCAGGTCAGACATCATCCACAGGTAGTTCGCCGTACTCTGCATGATGACTCTATAGATTCACCTGAAAACACATTAGCATACATTACATATTCATGAGGATCAGGTGGATTCAATTTAAATTCTGAAAACACAAATCAAATACACAAACAACAGCATCAACACTGGCAACCATGATAATGAACATGCACCACGGAAGAACTTCACCATATGTGACCACAAAAGCGGTCATAAGTCGCTGGGGTATATTTGTAGCAATAGCCAACAATACATTGTATGGGTTAAAATGATCAATTTTTCTTTTATGACAAAAATCATTAGGATATTAAGTAAAGATCGTGTCCCATGAAGATATTTTGTACATTCCCTACCGTAAATATATCAGAACTTAATTTTTGATTAGTAATATGCATTGCTAAGAACTTCATTTGAACAACTTTAAAGATGATTTTCTCAATATTTAGATTTTTTTGCACCCTCAGATTCCAGATTTTCAAATATTTGTATCTCAGCCAAATATTGTCCTATCCTAACAAACCATACACCAATGGAAAGCTTATTCATTCAGCTTTCAGATGATGTATAAATATCAATTTCAAAAAATTTACCATGAGTTATACATACTATAGTATATTTTCAGATACCATAATTATTAGCCGTTCTGTTTCGTAACGCTTTAGCTTTCGGTTTCCCGAACAACAGAGACATTTACACCAAACTGACAAAGCACAAGTGTAATTAATATTACGATAACGTGCGTGCTTGACGCTGTAATGAGGATATTGTGAAATCAGCTGCGGGATTGATACAATGTTTCGCCGTGACGTCACAGAACTGCGGGAATTTCCCGCGTCAGCGCGTGATCCTTTCAGCCTTTTTTTGCGTGAAACTAGAACAAAATCACTTAAAAGAGACATAAAAGCAGAAGCGAGAACGAATCGTGTGGTTCAGACCATCTGTATGGGTGTCTATGACACCGAACCGCGTGAAACTGAAAGTACATTAAAATATCTGACAGAATAAAGCGGTTTATTATCGTGATCTTGAGATATGAATGAAGAAACCGACGAGTATACATCACTGAGCGTGCGCCTTGTCTTATTCTATGCGATAAATAAATAAATTCACTTCGATCGAAACATTGCATTGGTACGTCTAACATTAGATTAATTATGTAAACACGGCGATAATAGATTACGAATAAGAATTAGATGACACGAGCGCTGTATGAGAATTATATGATGTATTTTATGCTAGTATTTCATGTTTATTTTCTCACCCCGAGAGCAGGAAAGTCTCTTCCGTTTTCATCACACGAGAAACGCTGAGCGACGCAGGCTGTGTGCGCATACCGTACTACCGTATTACTCGTACTACTTCCGCAGTATCAATGCTTTGAGCGTATGCGGTTTTTTTAGTGCGCAGAAAGTAAAATGTTAATAGCCTGCAGCTTAGCAACGTTTATCGTTCAGTGCATAGTTTCACGTAATATTTAAATTAAAGTATATACACTGGATACTGTCCGCTAAGTGGTATGTTAGTGTTCCATTGCGAACACAGCCTTATGCAACCGTAAATATCATAGTAGAGGAGACCATAAACTACGGTATTGGTTATTTTCTGTTTCAAATTTATTTTTTATTTCTCTCTCTATATTTTTTTTTATTATAGCAGTAGATCTTTCACAGACATGTTATTTCCAGGGGTTTTGTGGTGAATAAAAACATTTTTTAATTAAAGTATATACACTGGATACTGTCCGCTAAGTAGTATGTTAGTGTTCCATTGCGAACACAGCCTTATGCAACCGTAAATATCATAGTAGAGGAGACCATAAACTACGGTATTGGTTATTTTCTGTTTCAAATTTATTTTTTATTTCTCTCTCTATATTTTTTTTTATTATAGCAGTAGATGATCTTTCACAGACATGTTATTTCCAGGGGTTTTGTGGTGAATAAAAACATTTTTTTAATTAAATGTGCGCAGTGTGGGATATTTTAGTACACCGGTAGAGGGCGCCGCTCAGCGCAGAGTAGGCTCGATTAGCCCAGAATGTAGCGATAGAAGAAGCGAAGTGAACTCCTATGAATATCTAAAGACGTATACATATAAATACATAATGCAAATGTAATATGAGCCACTATTATAAGTGATGTCATCATTCTAATAGTGGCTCCGTAACCTGAGAGCCGAAAGCGCGTTTATGTATTGGAGGCGTGTTTTGTTGATAGACAATGAAATTCCTCCCGGTGTGGCGCAAGCAGAGTGGCGCAGCGGAAGCGTGCTGGGCCCATAACCCAGAGGTCGATGGATCGAAACCATCCTCTGCTAGCTTTTTATGTTTCATAAAAAAAGTACTAACTATCCAACATAAATGAACGACACGTATGTTAGAGAAAGCATCAAAGAAAGAACTACAACCAACGCTTTTACTGAAGCAACACAATCCATAGTTACAGTGAATATTACTATTACACGGTTGTTATTGTGTTTTTATATTTTAGTTTTACTGCAATTTTTAATATTGTTATTTTAAAATATTTATCATGCTATGTTATTTTTCAATTTTCATTACACCCTTTGCGAAAATTAACCATGGTTTAATTAGCCTATAGTAAAATGGTAGTAAGTTATTTTATTTTTTGGTATATTGATTACCATTTGTATAACCACAGTTTTATTGCAAATACCATGGTTAAACTATGGTTAATGTAGCAAAACCGTTGTTAATTTGTGGTTAACTATAGTAACCATGGTTTTTTGGTTTTATTTGTAGTAAAAACCATGGTTAATTTTCCTAAAGGACTAGCTTCTGATATGTCCACACTGGGAAAATAAAACGTAGATTAAGCAAAATGTAAATAAGAGAAGGTGTGTAAAGAGAGGAGTGTTATTTACACACACACGCACGCACGCACACACACACACACGCACACACACACACACACACTCTCTCTCACACACACACA